AGTTAGTGTGTAAATGTAATAGTCTGTCTCAAGCAGTCATTTATTGAATGACGAAACGTCACGAATAATTTGAAAATAAATTTGGGAAGAGATTCACTATGTCAAATAACAAAGCCAATTAAAACGAATTTGGGTTAGGAAGCTCCGATATCGGCATATCGAAAGTAAAAAATTAGATTAACATTAAAGAAAAAAGATAAAAGCATATAAACGCCAATACGTGACAATGTTCCGATTGTTAAGATATTTTAAACAATAAATAATATGACTTTGTCTTTGAAAACAAATTGAAAGAATAAAAAGAAAAAATTTACATTTCAAATAAAATTGTTACTCTCTCTTTCCTTTAAAAAAACTACTAAGCACCCATACATAGTATCTTTCTGATGAAAAATGAACGAATATGCACAACTTTGTGAAACCGGTAAAAACCGGCCGGTCCAACTCACTCAACCGGTCCGGTACGGCCGGACCGGACCGGTTACAACTCTGATTTGAACTCATTCGATACTCACACTGGTTCAAACCCATTAAAAGGAGCTTATTCGTATTAAACTCATACATACGCATCGATAAGATCTTAACGCATTAGAACCCGTTATACTTAAACGCGTGAAAACCCGTTTTATCCTTCATAATCATATTTAACAAGTTCGCATCCATCGCCACTCGGAAGAAGCATCAGCTCGTGTGGTTTCTGAAAATTAAACCCGTTTAAATGTAATTTTTCTGAAAAAACATTTTTAACGCGTGCTAACCTGCGTTAGGGTATCAAAATTATTTCATGGGTAAGTTTTTTATAACAATTCGGATGTACAAAAATTCAAGGGATTGTTCGCTAAGTTAATTTTCAAGACAGTGTTGCCATACCAAAGATTTTACCCTTGCTCTGTCACTGTCAGAATCCGATTTTCTTGCCAATCTGTAGGAATTCTGCTTGTATAGGGTCAACGATAAGATTCGGCTATTTCGTTAGATGGCTTTATTGAACAAAATAGTACATCTGTCGATAAACGAGGTTCACGATCAAATATCAAGAAGGTCGGAGATCCTCCAGTGCTATCATTTATTGCCGGTCTTAGAGCGAAAGCTAATTGAGGGACTTTTATATCCCAGGCACGTCGCTCACTTTGAGTATACGCTCGTATCATTGTTTTGAGTGCATTATTCACGCATTCTGATAGATCTGATTGCGGATGATATAAGGCAGTTCGGCGATGATTTATTTCGAGAATACAAACAGTTTCTTCGATTGGTCCTAAATTTGGGACCGTCATCTGACAGGATGCTTTCTGGGCATCCGAAACAACAAATGACTTCGTCGAGAAGTATTGGAAAGATTTTAAGAGTTTCTTAGTGAATCACTTGGCCCACTCACATTTTAGGAGTCGTCGACTACTCTATAAATTGCGTGGAATTTCCATTGCAAAATACACGTTCAACTCATATTACACAAATCATCATATATCTGTCGCCTTTCAGAAAAATTTCAGCTGTCATTAGGAAGGGATTTAATGTTCATGCCCTAGCAAAGTACGAAGTACGTACTTCGTACTTCAGAAGTACGGAGAAGTACAAAAAAGTACGAAGAAGTATCAAGAAGTACGGAGAAGTACCGACAAGTACAGAAGTATGCCTTTTCCCCCTTGAGATAAGTACAAATCTCCGCCATTTCAAAAGTAAATCTTACCGCTTGGAAGGTGTACTGTATTTAGATTGACGTAGTAACCTCTCTAACATCAAATTCAACAGAAAAGCAGAAAATCTAGGTATTCTACTGCAAAGCACAAAAGAAAGAAGAATGAACAAAATATTAAGAAACACGAGTCAAATACTTGTGCATTATGGACCGAAGAGGTTTGCAAAGACTAGATATACGGCGTCAGTGCGAAGCAAAAGAGAACATTATAGAAACATTATTGAAGGTTGAATTGCCTTTTTATATTCAAAGTACATATTCGGATAAGTAGACATATTATGGTAGACAAATGCAGTCAAATATTCCAGATTGAACTGAAGCGCCACCTATAGATCTAGAATTCTTTATCAAAAAGTACGATGTATGATGACATAATAGAAGGCTATGGCCTTCTATTCTTGATCAAGGTTATCTGTAAAGCCGTTGCTTTCCTGGGAAACGATTTTACACTTTCTCAGGGTTTATAGTTATGGTCTTAAATTTGCTCATAAAGGAACCTTCCCACATGTCCGCCTCCGTTTTTAGTGATATTCTGCCCGTCGATAGAGGGTAGAAAGCCTAAAAGGATAATAATTAAGTTAAACAATAACTAAATAAGTCTTTCAAAAATACGCCCACATTGGTCAATAGTTGAAATACGTGGCCGATATAATGATTTTCATTTATCTTAGTGCTTTGAACACTCCGTTAGTCGTTTTTCTGTCATAATAAAAAGTTATGTATTGTTAGAAAACATACCATTGGATAGCCCTTGAAATTCTCTACAAAGTGAGCTGGTTACAATATCCAGACAAGTGGAGCCACTCATTAAAGATGTGGAAAAGAAGCTTTTTGGTGCATTTTAAGCAGTACAGTGTGTCATAATCACAAGAACTCCCTTGATTTTGACTTTATAGTGAAAGCTGGAATCAATCTGAATAATGTTTTGAATAGCCCGAATATTTTTCTATCGGATGAGGTGTATACCGCCCTTTCATGAGAAAAGTTGATAATACAGCTTCTGGAAAACCTGACTATCGGAAAATCAAGTCCTTAGTTTTCGGCCAGAAAATTTTGCAAACCATATAGCCTGATAGAACGAAGAATTTTGAGCAAAATAAGATACCTCCAGGCATTCTATAGTGCATTTTCACCCGAATATTTTAAGAACTTTCACGCCCTTTGTGGCTAGTGGTAAATCGACTGTAGTTGTGTGAAAAGGCACTATAGAATGTCGAGAGATGTCTTATTTCACTCAGAATTCTTCGCTACAATTTAGAGAAAGAGAATTAATGGGCTACAAAATCCGATAAAAGTTTTCAAGTAAAAGTACAAGGTCATGTCCAAAAGTACAAACAATATGGGCGCTAATAATGACACTAATTTTCCAACTTTTTCCACTTTTGTTGAGTTTCCACAGTCTAAAACTGGTTTTAAATTAAAATAAAGGTGATATTCGAAAGCTGCATCCACTGATGTGGATATGTAGCTGTTTGAAGAAAAATGAAATTTCAGCAAAGTTCATTCAGAAAAACCGAAAAAATGTCGAATATTTCATTTTTCTTCAAACAGCTACATATCCACATCAGTGGATGCAGCTTTCGAATATCACCTTTATTTTAATTTAAAACCAGTTTTAGACTGTGGAAACTCGACAAAAGTGGAAAAAGTTTGAAAATTAGCGTCATTATTAGCGCCCCTATTGTTGGTAATTTTGGACATGACCTGGTACTTTTATTTGAAAACAAAATTGGGAACGTTTATTACAATTTAATTATATAAATAAATCTTCTGATTTAAAACGATATATTAGAAAAAAATATTCATTATCGTTTGTTTACTATTATGAAATTATTTTATATGGTATTCTTGATGTAGCAAATAAAGCTGCAATGTGTTCTGTATTTGAAACAAATGATCTAAAACAATTTACATCTATATTTGATAGTTTTAAGATTTATTTAACTACCTATTTTAACGATAATACAAATTTAGATCAATTGCCAAGTATTTGTTTTGAATTACAATTCGATCAAAAATTTGTGTTAGTATTCTATCGTTAATATGGACTTTAGCTGATAAAACAAAACTTGTTCCATTATTTATTTCATGTGGTTGTCCAAAATCAGTTTTAGATTGGATACAATTATCACATTTACGTTTCGAACATAAACGGCCATTAATTAGTATTATTCATAATTTGGCACGTAATCCACAAGGACAATCAACATTTAGAAAAAAAGATGAAAACAGAGTATTGGATAAATACGACCTACAATTAAAAATTATAAGGATAATGATATAAATGTTATATACTATATGGGTTACACATTGATCTATGGTCATGAACTGTTGGAACTATCTTTAAAAGAACTACATAATCAAGAGACATTATTATAAAGTTGCGGCAATTAAGCATATTTTTGAGTACAATATTAACGCATGTTATACATCGATTGAACATAAACAAATGTCTCTTAATGGTTTTCATTTATCAGAATTATTAGTAGTATTAGAAAAATTATTTATATCCGATTATATTGTTCAGTATTGTTTGGAATTAGAATTTTCTTTGCAATCTGAACCAATAAATACATATCTTTGTTTTCTAATACATTATTATCGATTTATGGAGCAATTACGGACGGTGACGAACGTGGAAAATTAGCTTGTGAATCAGTTATATATATCATATGGAGTTTGACATTTTTCGCCGACAAAGAGATTGCAGATCAACTGAAAACTATAAAAGGTCAATTAAAATCTAACGGTAACCTTCTCCTTGTACTTCACAGATTAACGGAAACCGATCATACAACAATCGAAGCAGTCAAATGTATTTTACATAATCTCGACGAATTGCCATTAACATCGGTAATAAAAAATCTGATTTCATTCAATAAACCGGTACTATCATTTAGTTATACAATCCAAGATAAATTGTTTGTTAAAGAATTACTCAAGCAATTATCACAAGAAATATATGACATATATCCGTCTTGGAAGCACAATCAACAGAAACAATCACAGAAGAAACCAAACACGAAAAGTCAAGGTAAATAAGTAGTTGTTAGAATTTAAATGAAAAAAATGGATCGAAAAAGACGACTACTTCGATCGTCTTACGAGGGAACCTCCCGGGGTTATTAATCACTTTTTGATCGAAGTCTAGTGGGTTATAGGTTATCCACTATGCTGATTCCGAATATGATTACGACCTACCCATAGTCATTCGAAGACCTGATTTTCTGCAAAACCAGTTTTACCTAAACTCTAAAGGATAAGCAAAACCTTCCACAAGGAGACATAATTGTAGCCAGCAAATTTCTGGTTAAAATGAGACCTCTTCCAGCTCTACACGCCCTTTCTTTGCAAAGTTATAGAACTTACGAAAAAGCTCGAAATTTCTTTTCTTTGCCGAATGTTTCTTTGCTTTTGCCTCAAAGCATACTTGATCGTACGTAACTTTCGATGTTGACCACGGATTTGATAATAATTTTTCCCCATATGACTTCCAGGAAGCGTTTTCCAGAAACTCGGTGGCCAGAGTCCCATTCCCAACGTCATCCTAAAAAACATTGTGATATGACTAGTTTGTAGAACGCGTCAAACGTACAAAAAGTTTCGCACTTAACGAGCAAGCTTTCATCTAGTTATCAGCACTGTATTTACATAGAAGCTGAAAATAGCAGTATAGCGAGAAATATAAGCCGTAAACTTTTTTAAATCTCTTCGAAAACCTGCTCCTTAAGTGCCAGAATTTTTATACATGGGTATACGCGCATTACAAATTGCCCATACCACAATGTTTTCAGGCTGCCGCTCGAAATGGGTCTCTGCAGACCAAGTTTCTGAAAAACGCTTCTCGGAAGTCATATGGGGAAAAATCATTATCGAATTCAACATCAAAAGTTACTTAAGGTATGTTTCGAGAAATCGCTTGATGAGGTTTCGCCGTTAGTGTAGAGTGAAGCAAGGAAACGTGCCAGGTGAAAAGTAAGCCGAAAAACTACATCGAATCGGTAAACTCAAGTCCAATCCAGTAAAAAGTTAAAAAAATAAACAAAATTGAACTGCCTCAAAATTTCTTTGTGTCCGCTGTAGGTTCTATAACATGTGCGAACGGTTAAAAAACGTGGAGATACTTTGAGCAAGAAAACGGGAATTTTCAAGAGATCTCTGACATTTTAAGGCTGTTGCTACTCGAATGTTTTTCAAAGTTTTCTGATATAAGATAGTAAGAAGGACGTGTCCTGAAAATTTGCACCAGTCTAGCAGTGTTTTAACGCTTCCAGAGACTGTCTATGCGATAAGAAGTGATGAAAAGCAGGAGTTCACAAACTATTTTGATTGTCCATGCTTCCAATTCTTTTAGCTTACTGGTTCCAGTGGATTAGCGATCACGTTGCTCTCATCGAAGCTCAGTACACGTAGAAAACTGTCATAAATGACTATCTCGCCTGACTCCAATTTTGTGCAGAACACCTAGGCTGTCATTTGCGCAGAAAGGAGATACAGGTCATTACGGAGTTTGAGCCCACAGTGATTTCTTCTTTCCAAAGCCTGAAGTCTGAAAAACTAGTGTTCTAGAAAATCTTGTCACAGAAAAGATAGTGGGCAGGCAAGAAAAAGAATATAAAGAAAATATATACAAGAAGAACTATGATCAGAACTATTGCCAGATAATTTGTCTCCTGCAAAAACTTAAGTAGGAAATGAAGCAATGCTTACCAGGACATGAAATACCTCAGTATATCTCCCGGTTTATCACTAATGGGAACTCTCACCTGGAGCGAGTAATAATGATGAATATTTATTGTCCTTTCATCAAACTAGACGCGAAAGGGTAATAGTAATAGCCCTACAGACTACAATATAAAACAGGCAAGATAGTTAAGTGGTTTTCGGAAATCCGCTCGGAAACCTTTTTCTGACGGTTTCAGAGAGGAAAAAGTCGAAAGCGAATAAAATGGGTTCCGAACCAGAAAAAGGTTTAGAAGAGTTCGAAAATCGTTTCCTCGGAAACGGATAAGCGTTTCATATAGTTTCATTTTCGGAAACCCGTTAAACGTTTCCTAGAATACATATTCCATTTTAGAGTGTAATAACCAGTAAAAAAGAAAAGAATAAAAGAAAAGACGAACGGAAAACAATACAAAAAATGTTCCCGTGCCGGGGATCGAACCCGGGCCTTGACGGTGAGAGCGTCAAATCCTAACCACTAGACCACGCGGGAGACACAATTCTTTGAAAACAGCCTCAACAAAGCTGTAAGATTTCGAAAGCAGCCGACACTGGACTAAGATCCTACTCATCGTTAGTAATTCTGGAAAAATATCTTGAACTACTTGACTTGCATTCATTTTCATTTAAACCGTTTACACCGCTGTCTACACTGGAAAAAAATGTATCCTTTGACAACATTTTTACTACTTCAATATAGGAGTTATCGGCCAAATAGAACAAGTTACGCAGAAATGTCAGTTTTAATCTTTTTAAAGCAACTTTAAGTTTAAATTTTTTAGTCACTATAGCAGAAAATCGATCACATACTTTGAAATGAGTCTCGATCAGATTTTGACGAGTGCACTCTTAGCTACAAAATCTATCAACTCTCCACGTTCTCTCGTTCAAATATTACAAGATTAATAAAAAGGAACCCAACGATACATTACGCGGAATGGCTGATAGCGCTTTGTTTTTATTCCTATGAGAAAACAGATTTTTTCTCATATGGGAAGGCATTTAATACAACTAGTCATAATTTAACTGCAGCGTAGATACTTAACACAGTTTTTTTTTAACCCTTTGCACCCGAATGAAATGTCTGCTACACTTGAATACTGATGATCCATTCTTTTCACAAACCTAACCAATATCTTCAATGTTGTTTAAAAATCGGCGATTATCGCTTTTTCTGGAAAGTCGCGGTTTAATCATGTCGGCGACAGTTTTATATACCGCGATTAAACACTGATTATCTTGCAGGTCTGAAAATATGACTGGCGAGGGAACGTTTTTCGGTGAACTCTTCCAATTCCGTTCGTTCATACGTCCTTCGATAGAGGCTTAGGGCAGGTGAAAAGCCTAAATAGATATGAGCCCATGGGGGCTCTTTCCTCAAAAGTTACAGCCATTTTTTTAGTTTTCCTAGCGAAAACTAACAAAAGCAAAGACCCTTCCTTTTATTCTGTTGTCTCTTTCCTTTCTAAAAACAATAATTAAGGAAACCACACATGACAGAAAAAGAGAAAGAGAAAGAGGACTTTATTTTCACACAAACAACAAAGAGATACGTGAAATCAAAATATCCAGGTCTTTTATTTACGCAAGTAGATACACGTTATTTAACTAAGGGGTTTGTTTCTGACCGTTAGAATTTTCATAACTCAGGATGGAAGAGCGACAGACAGCTGAAACTTTCAGGGTATCTAGCAGACCTCTAGAGTGACCACGAAAAAAGATTTCAGCTTGCTACGACCTTTCTAGGCGGAGTTCTGAATTTTTCTATTTTTGCTAGTTTTCCCTAGGAAAAATAAAAAAGAGCCATGGACCCATATCCATTTAGGCTGCCTACCTGCTCCAATCCTCTATGGAATACGAATATCGAAGGAACGAAATCGAAAGAGTTCACCGAAAAACGTTCTCTCGTGAGTAATGGCGATTAGTTGCCGATTTTGGGTTTTCTATAATATATAATAAGTGTTTAATATAGTGTTTTGAGAGATACGCACACAATATTTTTCATGACCTCCTGAAAGCTGATCCATTGTTTCGACAAAGGTCAGCTTTTGAATTGAGGGACTCTATTATTGACACCCTCAGCGAGTGGCAATAGCCATTTCGTTAAAATTTACGGTTGATATAAGCAATTTAGCCTTAAATCTTGTACACGACCTGTAAAAGCAGCAACTATGAATAATAATTTTAATGCGGCTTAGTGGACAACCAGGCGGACATAAAACGAAAGTGTTATTTTTCAAAGTTTAGACATTGGAATAATTACTTCTGTCTTGATCAGTCTTGTCCTGAAAGAGCATTTTCAGAAATTAAGCTGAACATCGGAAAAACACATACTAAGAAATTTATTCAGAAATCGCTAACGTCAGATAAAGGTAACTTTTTGGCCAGCTTACTGGAATAGTTTACCTTCTAAAACTATCTGAAAATAATTTATATCGAAATGCTTGACATACTCTCATACATGCATTGAATTCAATTTTGGGTTCGTGCGATCCTCTCTCTCTTGTTTTTCTTCTGTTTGATTTGAGGCAAATAGAGTTTGATGGTAAGAAACCATCTATT